GCTTGCCTCTTGGGTTCCCGGAATCAGCTCATTTTCCTTTTTCCTCCCTCCCCCTCCCTTCCTCTGCCCCTCTCCCCCATGCACCCTTGATAATTTATAAATTATTATTATGTCTTATATTACACTGCCCGGCGTCTCCCTTCACCTACCCCTCTGTTATAGTTTGTTCTTTTAGAAATTCTGACTCTCTGTTTTCCTGCCTTTTTCTTCTTGAGACAATGAGGTGGAGAGATAGTGCTGTGTGAGCTGCCATTGAGTCAGTTTCTACTCCTCATGGCCCCGTGTACAACAGAACAAAACACCACCCAATCCTACACCCCTTCACAGTCATTCCATTGTTGCAAGCACTCTGTCCATCCATCTCACAGAGGGTCTTCTTCTTTTTAGCCGATCCTCTACTTTACCAAGCATGATGCCCTTTTGTAAAGAGAGGACCCTCATAACTTGTCCAAAGTACATACAACAAAGTCTTTCTATTCTGGCCATGCTTATTCCAACCCAGAATTGTTCTTTTTTCTTTTCTTTTTTTTTTTGCAATCAACATTATAATTTAAATGCATCGATTCTTCTACAATTGTCCTTATTCGTTGTATAGCTTTCTTTTACTGGTAGAGATAGTGGAGACAATAAAATATTCTGAAGTCCCAGCCTATTTCACCCTTCTTTTCTCTCCTTCTTGTCCCCCAACATCATATTTAGGTTTTCCCTTTAATGAATATAAAACATCATTGCCATTGAATTATATTTTGTTCTTGGAGATTTGGACCTAGTGGTTTTTCTTATTAGATCATGGTGTTAATTAAACCAAGGTCATTGGCTCAATCATTATATCACACAATTAGCATTGTGCTGAACAAGTTTGCTAATCTCTTACAGACTTTGCTTCTCAATGTAGTAAATCTGATCTTCAATCTATTTTCTGTAGAGCTGTTTACATCGGAAGAAAATGCATTATCATTAGAACTGAAATTTTCTGATGACTGTGAACAAAATTTAAGCGTGTTTAGATTCAGACCTTCAGAATTAGAAATACTGAGGTTGCTGATAGTTATTGAGAGCTTACTAAGCACCATATTAACAACGTTATGAGGATTATGTTATTTAATCTTCAAAAGCATTCCTCTTATAATCACCATTTTACTGATGATGAAACGGAGGCTTACATGAGAAATTGCATATCTTTGACAGGTTGTTACCCATAATAAGTGGCAAACAAGGCTTCCAACTCAGGTAACTAGAGTCTATGATTCTCAACCAGGAACAATGATGTTTTACACTACTTACAAACTGAGGTAACTTACAAAACATTTAGCAAACAAGAGCACAGGCATTGATCAGACCCCACTCTGATTTGATTAAAGCAGTGCCAGGTTGTGTGTGTGTGTGGGGGGGGGGGTACCAGATGAATATAAGTCTTGTATATAAACATATCCAAGAGGACTTTTAAGGTAGGTGGATGGGAGAACGGATGCTCTAATTCTGCAGAAAATGGGCATCTAGACATAGTCCCTAGCATTCCAAAGAGAAAGTCAGATTATAACTACAGTGTAACTCCATATCCTATCTGACACTAAGTCTGAAAATATTGAGGTTCGCCCTGTCGCAGTAATTAAAGACTCAGGAAGTAGGACAAGCTGGGTCATGAAAGCACAAGTATTAATTAATAATCCAGGCGAAGAGAAATGACACTTGCATAGTATGAGAACCCGGTAGACACTAATGTAAAGGATCCTAGCTGAAGAAGGAATTTAGGAGCAAAAAATAAATAAATGTTGGAACTAGAAGAATTGATCAAAGAAATTCAGCTATTGAGCCGAGGTGTCTAGAAGCCACAGAAGCATACTCTATGGGTTAAGGCTTACTGTATGGGTTAAGTGGTTCTCAACCTTCCTAATGCCATAACCCTTTAGTCCAGTTCCTCATGTTGTGGTGACCCCCAACCATAGCATGATTTCGTTGCTACTTCATGACTGTCATTTTGCTACTGTTATGAATTATAATATAAATCATAATGTGTTTTCAATGGTCTTAAGCAACCCCTGTGAAAGGGTGGTTTGACCTCCAAAGGGGTCTCAATCCACAGGTTGAGAACCTCTGGGTTAAGCCAAAATGATAGAGAAGAACGAGGTGAGTTTTTACTTCTAAATGTGATCGGGAATTTTTTGGTCTAAGTTTTCCTAGTAGATGGACATCTTCAGTGGAGCATTGGGTCATGTTTTCTCTAACTTCTAATAAATTTAAATTAGTATTATAGTCACCAGGGGCTTTTTTCAAAATGGACCATAACTGTTATCACAGGCATGCTAATGGCCCAGCAGCAAGGAAAAAAAGGAAGATAATGTAAGTTTGACAATACTGAATTGAAAGAGAGACTGGGGAACTGATTTGACTGTAATTGCAGATTTCATTGAAGCAAATCAACAGTCTCCAAAGATATTATCAAGTTCAAACCTAATGTCAGAAACAATTGGCATGAACAAAAACATTCTTTGGATTGGCATTTGGAAAGTTATGTGAGAAATTTCTAAAAAGCAGTGTGAACCAGGAGCAAAGCAACAGGCTATAGTTCCAGGAAAGGGGACAAGTATAGTTGGCTAGGTTCCAGAGCCACAGCAGAGGGAGGGCCAGGGCAGATACAGGATATGCTGAGCATGAAGATTTGAAATCATCTGTAAAGGTAAAAATAGTAGCAGTCTCAGATCACAAGGATTGATTGCAGTGTGACAAAGCACCGATGGAAGCTGGAAATCTCAAATTGGTGGCACTACTCTGTGCAGTTTCAAGTTGTTCCCAGATTACTGGGACAACAGTACTTGATAGAAAAACAAGTGTCTACAATACAAATGTTTTCTCTGTAGAACCAGACAAGTGAATAAAGAATTATCAAATGACGGAGACACGGCCTACCTGTTATAGATTGAATTACTTTCCTCTAACACCTGTGTTGGAATTCTAACCTCCATACCTATGGATCTGAAGTGTTCTCACAGTGTAATCCCATTTGGGAAGAGGGCTTTATTTTGCTATGTTAGTGAGATCTTATTAATGATCATCTTGAACCTTATGACTTTTGATATATAAAAAGAGCAGATTTTTTTTATATATAATGAGAGAGATGTTTACCTCTCACAGGGAGAGGCCAGCACAAATGGTAGTACATTAGATCTGTGTGGGCATAGCCAAGGAACGAAGGAAGCTAGGGTCACAGAAATGGAAACAAGATTGTCCCCCCAGAGCAGACAGAGAGTGTCTTCCTGTAAAGCCAGAGCTCTGACAGCAGCCTGCCAGTCCCCTGCACTGTGAGGAATCAGCGCCTGCATCATAGAGCCCCATGCCTGTGGCATTCCTGTTGCAGCCTTGCTGGAGAAGGAAGACACAGCCTGACCCAGGAAACAGTCTCGGAGGTCTCATTAAAAAGTTGTTGCTTAAAGTAACAGCACAAATAATGAATTAAATAAGTAATATTTTGCAAAATATTCTCCCATAAAATGTTTTGTTTGACATATTAACAAATTAAAGATGCAGATCCAATTTTTTTTAATCGTTTTATTAGGGGCTCTTACAGCTCTTATCACAATCCATACACACATTAATTGTGTAAAGGGCATTTGTACATTCATTGCCCTCATCATTCTCAAAACATTTTCTCTCCACTTAAATCCCCAGCATTAGGTCCTCATTTTTCCCCTCCCTCCCCACACCCCTCTCCCTCATAAGCCCTTGATAGTTTATAAATTTCTATTTTGTCATATCTTGCCCTGTCCGACAACAGAAAAGTGTCAAGCACATTTGTATGTATGTTGCCATCATCGTTTTCAAAACATTTTCAAAACAGCTCATTTTCCCCTCCCCATCCTTCCTCCCTCATGAACCCTTGACAAATTTATAAACTTTTTTCATGTCTTACACTGACCGCTGTTTCCTTTCACCCACTTTTCTGCTGCCTGCCCCCCTGGGAGAGAGTTATATGTCAATCATTGTGATTGGTTCCCCCTTCCTCCCTGCACCTTCCCCTTCCCCTCCTGGTATTGATACTTTCATTGTTGGTCCTGAGGGGTTTGTCTGTCCTGGATTCCCTGTGTTTCGAGCTCTTATCTGTACCTGTGTACATTCTCTGTTCTAGCTAGATTTGTAAGGTAGAATTGGGATCATGAAAGTGTGGGGGAGGAAGCATTAAAGAACTAGAGGAAAGATGTATGTGTCATAGGTGCTATACTGCACCCTTACTGGTGCGTCTCTTGTGACCCTCCGTGAGGGGATGTCCAATTAGCTAGAGATGGGCTTTGGGTCTCTGCTCCTCCCTAGCCCTCATTCACATTAATATGATTTTTTGTTCTGGTGGACTCAAATTTTTGTATGCCCATTTGTTAAATGGGAAAGCTGAGATACAAAGATATTACTTATTGAGGACACATCACCATTATTAAGCCCAAAAGAAAATTAAAACTAAGTCACTTACCACCACTTCCAAAGATCTCTCCCAAAGCACCAAGATCTCCCATTTTCACCTTGCATCCTTGTACAAAACTGTCAGCACGAGGGGGCTTCCAAAAGAAAATTCCATCATCTTTCAATTCTATTTTTCCATAAACTTTCTGAAGCTCCTTCATACATGTATTGCATAGTCTATCATATAGATGGTACTTTTTGTGGGCATATTATAGACCCAGGAAGATTATAAACTAGGAAAACAGAGATTGTGTCCACCCCTTTCTTTAAAGTGCCTTCTCACAAGTTCATACTGCAGAAAGAAGGCCTCCTTGAAAATTCTGGTTTGGTTCTTGAAAGATGCTCTTTATAATCATAAATACATACTCTGCCTCATTGGTGTGCTTTGACTCATTCTGCCTCTCCAAAGGACACCAGGGAAGCCTTCTCAGCAACTTTTTCTTGACACAGGTGAGTTAGCTGTCTGTGACCCATGCAGGCTCGGCCGGGGCAGATGTAGAAAGATATGCCTGGAGACGGAGAGGATTGCTGGATATTGCAAGGTCAACTTTTTATGCTGTGAAAGAAGAATCTATTTTACTTGATCGGCACTCTTCTGCCCTAAAAGGCAGCACTGGAGATTCAAGGAAGGTCAAGAGAAGTTAACTGGCTTAATAAAATCACACAGTGAATGTGATTTAAGGTCATATTGCCTCACTTTCTTTATTTTGTTTCTCTGCCTTTTATTTAAGATGATTGTTATACTAAATCAAGCACAAGGGCATAATGGGTTCTCATTTAATGAGGTACTACTGGCACATATTTGTAGAATACATAATAATTTATGAATTCTTCCCCCATACTTCTTTCATCTGACTCAAGACTGCTTTGCAACGTAGATTTTATTGTCCCCACTTATATTTAAGGAGACTGACACCAGGACACTGGGAATTCCTTCGGGTCACAACTGGAACATAGTAGAAGATGGGCATGCCATTGCCATGTTCTGTTTATCCAGTTAGCTGTACTAGTTTCTCATGAAATTAACTGTAAATAAATGAGAATAACATTCTCCATCTATGTTAATGGAATTTTTATTTAATTTCTTAAATTATAAGAAATTCTTTTTCATTCAAATTATCTCTTTGTGTACACACATATAGTCATGTGTTAATTCCAGGTCTTCTTGTATGCTTTTCAAACAACATGTACTCAATTAACACCCATGACATTAACTTAATAATGCTCTTTGCTTGTGAATAATCATAACTAGAAATGTATTGAAAGTGTTCAGCAAGGAACATACATATACATCATACATACATATACAACTTTTGCCTTATGAAATAAAATGTGTAGCTTCATAACATAAAGGTCAAGATCATTAGTCCTTTGAATTCTTTGGAGAATGGTCAGCCTCCTCTTTCGTCATTGTAGTGACTGGTGGATTTGAGCCAATGACCTTGTGGTTGGTGAGTTGGTGGCCTGATTCAGAGCCCACTGTTTCACCAGTGTTCCTGAGGTCTGGGCAAAGGGAAATAAGAGCATTATCAGTCTTGGGTTAGCAGCGATAGGAAACCAAGGCAACATACCCAAGAACTCCCCTTTGGGATACATTCTGACATACTAGAGCATTTTAAGCTGTAAGCCAAAAACAAGGGGACAAAAACGGGTTTTTGTAATAAAGTTTATCCCCAGTATGGTTTGGGGTCAAGATAAATATAGTCTGGGAATAGAACTCTGAATTTCACCACATTTTGCTATTACACTTATTGTGCATTTGCCAAGAGAAGAGGGCTAAGATTCCTTTTGTTCAAGCTTACACATCACTACATCAGGACAAAGCGCTTCAGAAAAATGTAGCTTTATGTTGCATAGAACAAAATGGAACAAAAACCAACCAGTTTTACTTCATTCATCAAAGGCCGAATACCCCAAATTCTCTATGTTGGGTTCCTAGCTCAGTTCTCTATGTTGGATTCCTAGCTAAGACCTTGTCACCACAGCGCCAGGTGCCATCACTGGCTGCTGCAATGCCCAGAGGCAGGGATCCAGGAAGCTGACACCACCTTCACAGAGAGTATGGCCTCTACTTCTCCCACACTTGATTTGGTATTCATTCAAGTTGAGCCAGCAGCAGGCTTTGACAGAGGCTTTAAGGGAGATCCCAGTGGAACTTAATGAAAATGAACAACCCTGAGGGACTGTTTGTGCATATCCTTTTTCTAGCTCTGATTTGTATAATTTAAAAAGTGATTCCAAGAAGGACTCTGATAGTATACCACCAAAGGTTTAAATCATCTCTCAACAAGAGAGTATAAAGTAAAATTTGCTTCCTGATCAGAGAAATGGTGATGGGGCGGCCATTCCAAAGTCCTGAGCTATCAGGGTTCCTTAGAGACTTTTGAAGAATGGCTAGACTGCTGAGTTTGCCTTCCTAAATTGGGCTGTTTGCAGGCCTCATTACAAAATCCTCAGATGGGAGGGATTATCCCCCTTAGAATAAACTCTCAGAAGTAGGGCGGTGAGTTAGTTAATTGTGCCAGCCTGGCCGATAATCACATGTGGTGCTGGTTGAAAGGCAGAGGGATAAATGGGTGGTGAAGCCTCGCCTTTCTAGTTCTCGGGTCTCTTGTTTTGTGATGGTTGCACCGGGTGCAGCTGCCTTAGCAGTTCCCTGCT